GTACGGCAGCAGAGAAAGACACTGACCTATCTTGGGCGATGGTGTTTTCTGGACAAAATGTGGAGTCTTGGGGGAGAACCTCAGATACAGCACAGTGGAGGGGCTTCTGCAGAAAGCTGACTGTCCTCCTCCCCATGGTGTGGGAGGCGGCTCCTGTCCCTCTCAGAGGCCCTCAGGGTGAGGGCATAGAAGGTAAAGGAGAGGTTGGGGGTGGGGAGCCGGGAGGAGGCCCTGTCTGAAGAGGCCATACCCTGCGTGGGTGCCCAGGACGCCCAGGATGGTCAGATCTTCTGAATTTGTTTTTTTTTTTTTACAAGAGCAAAGTCTGCATTTTTAGGTGAAATCTCATTTTGAATTTTTTCTTAACGTTCGTTTATTTTTGAGACAGAGAGAGAGAGAGGGTGAGCGGGGGAGGGGCAGAGAGAGAGAGAGAAGAAGACAGAATCGGAAGCAGGCTCCAGGCTCCGAGTTGTCAGCACTGAGCCCGATGCGGGGCTCGAACTCACGGACCGCAAAACCATGATCTGAGCTGCAGTCGGATGCTCAACCACCTGAGCCACCCGGGCGCCCCTGAGGTCTCAGTTTGAAATGGCAGCAGCTAATTAAAAAAACTCGAAGCCACCGGACAGGTCGCAAAACAGGCCTGGTCTCTAGGGTGAGGCCAATGATTCTTTAAAAAATACAGAAATTGTGGTAAAATATGTGTTATGCTAATATTGATGATTGTAGCCATTTGTAAGCATATAATTCAGTGGCATTAAATACGTTCAGTATATTGTACCATCACCACTCACGGTCACCACTACCAATTTTCAGAACATTCTGGAATTTCGAAACAGAAACTCTGTACCCGTTAAGTAATAACCGCCCCCTCCCCCTGAGCCTCTGGAGACCTGCCTTCTGCTCTCTGTCTCTATGAATCTGCCTATTCTGTGTACTTGGTGCAAGTGGGATTATATCACTTGTCCTTCTGGGTTGGGCCTGTGTCACTTAGCATTATGTGTCCGGGGTCTGTCTGCGTCATTGCGTGTGCTGGAGTTCGCTTCCTTTCCGAGGCTGGGTGCCGTTCGCTGGACGTATACACCCCATCCCGTTCAGCCATGCATCTGTCGAGGGACCTCTGCCTTCTCGGAAGAGGCGTTGTGCCCCAGCACATACTGGATAGTGATTGTAATTTATGGCACCTCTCTTAATTCCGGCTGTGCTGACAGATGGCTGAGCACGGGGGGATGGGATGAGGAGGGCGCGACATCTGAGGTTGTCCTGGAGAGGGAATGGGGGAGGCAGGTGCACGGCCTCATGGTGACAGAGCGGGTGAGGGTTGCCTGGGGTGCCATGGGGGCTGTGGCTTGGCTTTCCTGGGAGGGACTGCAGCCGATTCTGGAAACATGAGCCCCCTGGAATGCCTGCCCAGTGTCCTTCACTGTCCTGGCAGAGAAGTTGCTTGGGCACAGGGATCTGAAACCACACCACGTCGACGGGGTAAGGAGCACTGGTTCTAAGGGTCAGCTGCTTGGGCTCAAATCTGGCTTCCCCAACCGGTAGCTGTGCCTCCTTGGGCCACTGCTTTTGCCTCTCTGTGCCTGGTGTCCTCACCTATCAAAACCCCAGACCTGCGGCATGGGGTTGCTGTATGCGTTAGACAAGTCCATACCTGCGAGGTGTTTTGAGGGGGTGCTTTGCATGTAGATTGTGCTCGTAACCAGTAGCTGCCATTTCTCCTGGGGGCGGGGTGGTCAAAGTGGTGCCTGGAGAGGCCGAAGCAGGTTGTGCAGGACCCTCAAGGCTGCTGCGCTTGCTCAGACCGTATCTGGAGGCCCAGGGGGAGCAGAGGGGGGCAGGGTTGGAGAAGATGGGCCTGAACCTTTGTGGTGGATGTGACCCTAGAAGATCTTACCTACATGGGACCCTCCGTCGGCCTCCCAGGAAGCTGGTCACCCTGTCTCGCTTGATAACCTGGGGCTTTTCTACTCGACCGCATCTCTCCCATTGTTTGCTTGAAGACTGTGATTTAGTGACTGCCCACCTCCTGCCTTTGGACAAACCCCCGTTCCTTCCCTGGGCCTCACTTTCCCCACCTGATGGTGTGGGGCTGGCTAATTTCTAAGGGTAGTTCCAAGCACCTGCGCCCTGGAGCGGAGCCTGGGTGGCTCAGTCGGCCGAGCGGCCAACTCCGGCTCACGTGATGATCCCACGGTTCGTGAGGTCGAGCCCCGCGTCGGGATCTGTGCTGACAGCTCGGAGCCTGGAGGCTGCTTCGGATTCTGGGTCTCCCTCTCTCTGCATCCCTCCCCTGCTCATGCTCCATCTCTGTCTCTCAAGAATGAATAAATGTTAAGGTAAAAAAAAAGACTAAAAAAAAAAAAAAAAAAAAAACCAGCCAACCAAGTACCTGTGCACTGGAATTCTATGGCTGTTAGTTGGTGGAGTTTTACTTATTAGGTATACCCACCAGAGATGGGGGAAAGGCTCCCTCTTGTTCCTCTTGGGTCCCTGGCCCAGGAGAAGAGACCCTACGAGAACCCCCTGCCTGGTGACGTGCTTTCACTGCACTGCCATTTTGTGCTTTGGCCTTCACTTGCTGGCGTGAGTGGGGAAGAGAGCTGGCTTGCCAGGCCCTGCTTAGTGCATCCTGATCACTTTTCCAACTACTTCTCCCTTTCCTCCCAATTATGAGACTCCTGAAAATGGTCCTTCCTTTTCAAAGTGGGTCAGAGTCACGCAGGGAAATGAGATTATTGGTGATAGAACTCAACTCAGCCAACGAGAGGCTAGAGCATCAACACATTATTGTTCGTTCCCTCCGTTAGTTTGTTATTTAATCTTCTGACTTTGAGCTCACATTGCAGTTAGTCAACAAGAACGTTCTTTTTTTTTAAATGTTTATTTATTTTTGAATTTTTTTTTCCAACGTTTATTTATTTTTGGGACAGAGAGAGACAGAGCATGAACGGGGGAGGGGCAGAGAGAGAGAGGGAGACACAGAATCAGAAACAGGCTCCAGGCTCTGAGCCATCAGCCCAGAGCCCGACGTGGGGCTCGAACTCACGGACCGCGAGATCGTGACCTGGCTGAAGTCGGACGCTTAACCGACTGCGCCACCCAGGCGCCCCTAAATGTTTATTTATTTTTGAAAGAGAGGGAGAGAGAGAGAGAGAGGGAGAGAGGGGGGAGAGAATCCCAAGCAGGCTTTGTGCTGTCGGCTCAGAGCCCCACGCAGGGCTCGATCTCACGAACGGTGGGATCGCGACCTGATCCTAAATCAAGAGTCGGGCGCTTAACTGACTGAGCCCCCCGGGCGCCCCAAGAATGCACTTTTGACAAGGACCACGCCCCGTTTATAACCACCGTTGGGAGGGACATAGTTCTCTGGCGGATGATCTTTGACCTGTCTTTGCTAAAGGGATAAGAATTTTTTTCTGTCTAGTTCTCTCCCGGGCTTTTCCCCAGGAAAGTGCCCTGTCTTGATGACCTAACTTCAAATTCCTTGACATCCGTCCATCTGTCCTTTCTTGCTTGCTTTTGAGCGGTGGCTGATGCTAGCTACCGCCACTTTGGAATGCTCAGACATGAGATGTTCACGGGCACTGCGATGTCTCGGGTGTTGGGGAGACGGCAGCAACTCTAACTTGGTCCCTCCCGTCATGGTGGGAGTTGGTACGTTGATTGCCTCTTCCTGTTCCCTTTTTGACATAAAGCCATGTCTCCCTTAATCATTTCAGGAGTTGCATCTACTAGAATCGTAAGGTCAAGACTTGCAGACTTCATGGTTACAGAAGGCTCCAGCTAGTTCGTTGTCTACATGTTGTTAAGATTATCTACATTGCGTCGGCTTGGGTAGCAATCACAGGACCTTATTAATTAGTATTTTGGGAAATATGTTCTATACGAGGAAGTTCAAATAATGCTTAGAAACCACATTTCTTTGGGCAAACCTTGAGAGCCGAGACATTATGGATTCAAATCTAATCTGTCACAGAAGATGTTAACAGTTGTGCTTAAAACAGGGGAGAGGGCTTCCGTGGCCAAATGTCGGGACGTGGTACTTACTCCAGCCCACCTCGGAGAGTTACACTGCACACGAGCAGATTAAAGGCTCTGAAAAGTCCTGCAGTAAAGAAACCCATTTGACATTGACTCAGCATTTTCCAAATGCTTATTAGCTTTAGAATTTGTTTCTGGTCCTCATAAACCCATTTAATATTCTTCAGAGCCAGCGTTCCACAAAACACCCTGGAAACACTTGTGGAAATGATTTGTTTCCGTCGAAAACTGCCCAATGGCCAATGTAGGTGGTCAGAAAAAGAAATCTGTTATTTGCGGATGCAGAGTTTTGTTTGGCCCAAGTTGTTGGCCCCAAACTGGGGAGCTAGTCTTCTTCTCCAGGGAAAGAGAGCTCACTCCTGAGAAAGACCTCTCATCGATGATTATAATGAGTCACGTTGAAATGTAGGCTGTTGACTGCAGAGTGCGGGGGGGGGGGGGGGTGGGCGCCTGTCCCCCCTGTCCCAGGTTTCTCAAGCCAGGACATTGTTTGAGACAGAATATGCGAGCCACCTGTGTTCCCAGACGATCAAGAAGGCATGTCTGGGGCAGTCAGTGTTCTGTGACCGTCTTGGCGTGTGGGACATTTTGGAAACAGCCTGTGGTTGCACAAAGCATACAGTGCTATCTCTGTTTTAAAGAAAGATACACAGACATTCAAACACAGGGAAGATAACGGCACTGGGATGATGGGCGATTTCCGTTCTTTTTCTTGTTTTCTACTGTTGCCCAGTTTTCTACTGTCAGCATGTGTTCCATTTGGAAAAAGAAACATACGCACATGGACATAAGCCACGTATGTTCAACTAGACATGCCTACCGCAAACACACGGATGTCCCTTGCTGAAATGATATGACACATACACCAAGATAAATATAAGGCGTGACGAGTTTTGGTCTTAAATCTTTGGCTTCTAGTAGTTCCTTCAAAGTGTGTCTTTTTGAACTCTTTCCAGATGGGCAGCAAATTTGGGAAATGGAAGCCACGGTGGATAAAGACAAGAGCCAGCCTGTAAGCACATGGACGAGACGACTGAACACCCTGTGTTCCCTCCCGCCTCCCTCGTGCTCTCTTTCCTTCTCTCTCTTCCCCCTCCTTCATCAAAGCCCCAGTGCTTTGGACCTAACGGGCACTCAGTAGGTACTGAATTGAGAAACAAATCGAGCAATTTATCGAGCACCAGACCCCCTGATTTGTAACTGTGACATCATAATGCACTTGGATACAGTAAGTGGCAACCCTTTCTTTGCTGCAGCTAAAGAGTCCAGTTCCCCTTAAAGAGCGTTTCGCCTGCAAACGTACAGAGTGTCTTGACTCCTGTAAGATGGGCTGGCTTGATGTGCTTGGGGCCTTGTGTAGGAATTTAGACACTGTTGCAGTTAACGGTGGCTCCTTCCTTCCAGAACATGCTTTTTGTTGAGATCCCTGAGTATCGAAACAAGCACATCCGTGCATCGGTGAAGGTCAACTTCTACGTCATCAATGGGAAAAGAAAACGGAGTCAACCTCAGCACTTTACTTACCACCCAGGTAAGGAATCTTCTCCGAAGGCCCCTTTGGTGGTGAAAGGCAGCACGGGCGTGCGGTAAGGACACACGAGGTCTGCTTTCAGCTGGTTGACCTTGGGCAGGTGGCTCAACCTCTCTGAGCCTCCATTTCCTCATCTGTCAAGTGGCACCTTCCTTATAAGATTTACAGAAGTCAAATGCACGTGAAGCGCTCAGCACGGCGCACGGTAAGCGGGTATGAATGACCTTAACAAATGTTACTGTGAATGTTTTTCTTCGGGAGGGCAGAGTAGGAGAGAGGCACGTGGGGACTTGTTCAACAGAAGGGTGCAAAGCTGGCACCCCCTGTCCGTGTCTTAGATCTGATCATGATTGGGTAAGCGAACGTGGCCGGAAACCTGCAGAATCTTGACAGTAAGTGGTCACCCGTGGCCACCTAGAGCTCCTGGGTGGACAGCCGGCCAGGACGTCTCATTCCCACAAAGCACCACTGTCAGAAGACAAGTGACAAGGGCCATGTTGCATTCATTCGTTTGTCCAGAAAATATCCAAGGGCCCCACACTGTGGTTGGCTTGGAGACACCGTCATGAACAAAACGTAACAAGCCCCACCCTCGTTGGAGCTCATGTTCAAATGGGGGATTCCGATAAAGGATAATACTGATCACAGGAGATTCAGAGAGTGGGTCATATGGATATTATTGACACGGCAGATTATAACCAGGGCTGCAGAAATGGCCTGCATGCCTCCCAAGGCTGCCCCAGACCTATTAGCCACCTTTCCGGGATTGGGAGACTGTCGCCCAGGGTATAACTTCCATCCTGTGGCAGTTTCACACGGAGCCTCTGGGCTGCTGGAAGCATCAGACCAAGGGGGCTGTCCCAGCAGCCCAGGCTTGGCGGGGCTTGGCTTCGGTGGAGCGTGTCCACCGGTTTCCATGGCCCCTTTGGCCATTGGACCGTCCCAGGACTGACTTGACATGCAGCCAGTGGCCGTGGCCTTCAGGGCCCCCAAACTGGGGGGGGCGGGGGGATCTCTGGGGAGGTTCTAGACCTCAGTTCAATGATCCTTGTTGGCAGAGAGGTTTTCCGTTGTGTTCTGCGGCCTTTCCCACCTCGTGCTTGTGGTCAGGAGGCCTCCCTGGGCCTGGCGTTGGCACCCGCCTGTCCGAGCATGGCCTGAGCGAGAATTCAATCCCCCAGGTTGGCCAGGGGCTGAAGCGCACGTCTTCGAAGGGCACCTTGGGAGACGATTCCTGGTTTGCTGCTGTTTGCTCTAGCTCCAGAACCTCCTTGCTGCCCTGCTCCCTGACACCTGACGGGTCCCCCCCTTGAGGACAGTCCTGTCACCACTTCATTCGATCCAGGGAGGGGACTGGTTCCTCAGCTCCTGGGGCTGGCAGTGCTTTAGTAAAGGATTCTGGAGAAGCACAAGTTCCGGTGACCGCCCTAGGGAGGGAGAGGGACAGGAACTGCCACAATACCAATGGTGGTAAGACGATAATAGCGACAACAGTAAGCCTTGAGCACCTACTGTATACCGGCCACTGTGCTAAGTACTTTCCACACGTCTCAGTTCACCTTCCCCGCTGGTTACTGGGACCGATGGGGAAACTGAGGCTCAGGCCAGCAGGTTTTCTTTCCCGGACCCCACCCCACTGCCCAGTCATTCCTGTTTCCAGAAAATATCTTGAGTGTCGGTGGAGTGCAAGGCATCGTTGTCGGTGCTAGGGACGCAGCATTGAACAAAGCAGACCAAAAAAATCCTCCGTTTGGGGAGCTGACAGTCTGGAGTGGGGGTGGTTCAGCTAACAATGGCACATGAAAGACACAGAGTATTCCAGGTGAGACACGTTTCCGAGGACGACAAGCAGGGAAAGGCGGTGTGAACTGCGAGAGAAGGTGGAGGAGGGGGCTGGAGGGGACTGTAACGTTGAGCCTTCGTCCCTGAGCTCTGCCCCGGGGGAAGAGCCTGCAAACACCCTGGGGCTGAGACGCACCTGCCAGCCGCCTTGCGACTCTCATCGCTCGGTAAAATTTCGGGCTTCTGAGACAGGTACACAGGGAGGCTCTTGTCCGAGGCTAATAAATGACAGAGCCCAAGGGTCTGCTCCCACCGACGTGGCCGCCCAAGGCCGCGTCCCCAGCCGCAGTCCACTAACCGCCCCCCCCCCCATTGCACCCCTGTGGCTCACTAAGAAGGCCCGCCCCCTGTGCTTCTCTCTCGCCCAGTCCCAGCCATCAAGACGGAGCCCACCGACGAATACGACCCCACCTTGATCTGCAGCCCGGCCCACGGGGGCCTGGGGAGCCAGCCTTACTACCCGCAGCACCCGATGGTGGCTGAGTCCCCCTCCTGCCTCGTGGCCACCATGGCGCCCTGCCAACAGTTCCGCTCGGGGCTCTCGTCCCCCGACGCCCGCTACCAGCAGCAGAACCCAGCGGCCGTCCTCTACCAGCGGAGCAAGAGCCTGAGCCCCAGTCTGCTGGGCTACCAGCAGCCGGCCCTCATGGCCGCCCCCCTGTCCCTGGCGGACGCCCACCGCTCCGTGCTGGTGCACGCCGGCTCCCAGGGCCAGAGCTCCAGCCTGCTGCACTCCTCTCCGGCCAACCAGCAGGCCTCACCGGTGATCCACTACTCGCCCACCGGCCAGCAGCTGCGCTGCGGTGGCCACCAGGAATTCCAGCACATCATGTACTGCGAGAATTTCGCGCCCGGCACCGCCAGGCCCGGCCCGCCCCCCGCCAGTCAAGGTCAGAGGCTGAGCCCGGGGTCCTACCCCACGGTCATTCAGCAGCAGAATGCCACCAGCCAAAGAGCCGCCAAAAACGGACCCCCGGTCAGTGACCAAAAGGAAGTATTACCCGCAGGAGTGACAATTAAGCAGGAGCAGAATTTGGACCAGACCTACTTGGACGACGGTAAGATGCTTTGTTTTTCTCGTCGCCCGTAAGGACGGGGCCCCAGAGCATCCCCCACGCCCAGCAAGTTCTCTGTGTGGTCTGGGTATCTTCCTCCACCCCTTCGGGCCTCCGTGTCCTCCTCTTCCGTTGAAGGGGGTTGAGTAAGATAACCTTTAATGCCTCGCTCACCCAGCAGGACTTTTGGGGTGGCTGCTTGGCGTTTTAGATGTTTCGCTACAACCACTGCAACAGAAAGAGCACATGAGGGCAATTCTGGCCAAAGGAGTGTCCCCTGGGTCATGAACTGGGGTAGCTTGACCGCTTCCACTCTCTTTCCATTGCCGAGTTTAGGCCAAGAATAGACAAGCAGAAAGGAAGGAAGGCTAACCTTTTATTCCCGTGGAGAAAAAAAAAAAAAGTCCTGCTTTATAGCCCTCTTTTGTGTATTTGGGGGAGGGGAGCGGGGAAAGGGAGGGAGCGAGCTCACTGAAAAGTGGCACATGAATGGGGGGCTTGCAGGCAGGCTCCGGGCACATCTGTGCCATGTGCCAGAGGAACAGAGACGTGCATTGACAGGAGGGAAACAGTGGGCTTCCGTTGTGGTAGCCGGGCTGCTGGGGTGGTTGGGCCAAAGGAAAAGAGGCAGGGAGGCTTTGTGTGAGTCTGTAGGTGCCCAAGTTTGTTGGGGGGGGGGGGGGGGGCGGGGGCCACAGCTGGAGGGTAGTCACGGCAGAGTGGCCGAGTGTGTGTGATGGTGATCTGTGATCTCAGGGACGAGGGGCTGGTTGTGCTAGGGACTCACCTGGGATGAGGACAGAGAGGGCGGGGGTGGGGCACAGCCCCCCCCCGGGGGGGGGGGGGGGGGGGCGCCAGAGGAAAGAAGACGGGCGGTGTGAGTTTCTTAGTAGAAAGAAAACCTATACCCCTGGCCGCCATCCACATCCCCTGATATACCCCGAAGCCTCAATTATTTAGGAAAATTTACTCTCAGGAACGCAGCCAAGCTGTAGGAAATCAGGCAGAAAGCTTCAAAATGGCCACAGCGGTTATCATAAAAACCAGGTAGTAAGTATCAGCCTCTTTCTTGGCAGGAATTCTCTGGTGCTTACTCAGAGACCGTTGGCTTTTATTTTATGCAAAGCTTCGACAGTCTGGGGGATCTGGGGGATCTGGTTCTGGGACTTCTCATAGTTTCTACGTCCTCTCTCTAGTAACACTATTGATCAAGAACTTCCCCCCCAAACACATCAAGCAAAGATGTCCAGGGCCACTTAGTGTAAAGCCACGTGCCTGGCAAGGCTGACCTCAGGGTGTTGCTGTGTTAATAATTGATCTGTCTAATCCTGAATAATCAAACACAGGTTGACTTAGAGTCACTGTGCTCGGTTTTCAAAAGGAGACCCATGTGCAATCTGTCCTTGAACAGTTTACACCCCAAGTGGTTAAGATAAAATTCGGGTGCTTATTTGAAAGGGGTTTATCACATAGAAAACCCAGTTCGTGCAGAATGCCTAATGCGAGCGGGTAAGCAAAAGCTGTAACCAGACCTCTCTCCACGCATGCGCTTGGGGTATGTATCAGGGGTGAGGTGCTTTATAAATAAATGATGCCTGAGCAGGCACAGGTAACTTTCCCCAACTGACTCTGTGTCTGGTGTAGGTTTAGTCTCCCAGAGCTAGGAATGTGCCGGCCCCTCCCGTCTGCCCATCATACCACGTGACAGACGAACCATGAAGATCTCTGTTAGAGACCGTGAGTTAGTCCGTGGCCTGGCTCTTGGGGACCTATCAGTATCAAGGTGGTCATGATTCCCCCTCAAGGGTCCATCGTGGCCCCAGACCCACACAGATGCTTCCTGCTTTCACAGAAGTCTGTGTTACAGACAAAGCAGCTGAGAGCAGAGACCCTTTAGGGCCTCCTAAGTGCCTTTCTGAACACAGGCAGGTTCAAAGTCATGGTGAAAGTGAGCTCTTGGCAGGTTAGTAACATGAGTCAGCTTTAAGGATATCTCAGAGAGCTGAGTGTGCTGAAATTGCTTCTCCTGATGGAGACTTTTCTTAAGTACTTTCTGCACAAGCCCAATCCCATAGGATTTTAGGAGATATTCTCTGAAATGAGGATTCTGAAGCTTAAAAAGTTGAAAAAATTCTGTAAAGCCAGGTTTTTTTGTTTGTTTGTTTAACTTGTCTACTGCAGGACTTCACAGAGCCTTTACTGCACTGATGGACATTGTAAATCTCTAAGGCAAAGGTACTTCCCAGAGTTTCTCACAGATAAGAGAGCGTGCAACCCCAGGGCGTGCTGTTCATATTACATTTTATTATACTGTCTGTGACTGGAACGTCTGGAGTTGTGCAACATGGCAGGCCTGGGACCCCCATCCCCCGACATTCTGGGAAAGTAACATGAAGGAATTTCAGAGTTCAGAAGCTCAGCACTGCTCCATCCCATATGCCTGCATTCATGCTTCTGAATTCTTTGGCTTGGCGTGGGATCAGAGCATGACAGGGCAATAGAATAATTTCTACCTGGGTGGCTCCCAAAAGGCCGCCAGGTGGCTGCTGGTGAGATGTTCAGTGCTTGAGCGGCATTGTCCCAAAGGCTGTGTGGAACCCACAGCCAGCCCTCCAGGGCGAAGGCCCCCGTGTGGCCAGTTGTGCCCAGTGTCAGCCCCAAACAGCCCCACCGCTGTTGCTCCCAGGAAGAACTGCGTGCCGTTTTGTCTCCTAACCAGTTGAGACTTCAGACCCCTCCAACAGATCATTCCGGGCTCCACGGTTGGCTTTGTGGGTGTGGGACTCAGACTTCTCGGTTGATTTTACGTTTATTTCTGACAGGCGGACCGGAACCCCTGGGTCATTTCTTTAGTCCAGTTGGGAGACATCCTAGGTTTGGAAGCTCCTTTTCTGTCCTTGTCGCCGATGACTCAAAGGGTCACCTTCCCCCCAAACACATACCTGACTGCACGCACCGTGATGGCATGTGCTCCCGGGATTTCTCACGTGCCTCTCATTTGCCTTGGGGTTTTGGTGGAGCACACTTTCCTTGGAAACTTGGTGAGAGCTGGAGTTCAGTGCTTTGAGGGTCAGGGCAGGGTTCCTCAAGGTAGAGAAGGACTCGGGTCCAAAGGCAGAGGGGTCATCTTTGAAGCTGGCCACGCCCCTGGAAGCCCCGGCGTGGGGTTACCTTCGCCTGACCCTCCGTGAATGACCCCGAGCGTCTTGTCTGGGCGTCTCACCTGGCTGTGTCATGTCGTGTCCTCTTTTCATCCCTCCCCTTCTCACGCTACATTCCTGTGCATAGACAGTCTGTCTGGGCCCCCCCCCCCCTTCTTGGAACTCCGAAACGCGGCTCCTGCTTTCCCCACTCCGAGCACTTGAGACCTTTTCAAAAAGTCTCATTTTGAACTGGCAAAAGAAGTGAAATTCCAGGGCAACACGCACCCGTGCTCCTCCCTCTCCCTGTGCTCCTCCCCCCGAACCAGGCGCTTTCTCTTAGTTCGTTCTGAAACGGATGCTTTGCACACACCCTCCCTTGTTTTTTTCTCTGTCGTCTTGGTGCTTCCGTACCCAGTTCCTTGTTCGGAAGTCCCTGGTTTTACCTGGAAATCCACAGCAGCGAATGAATTCTTCCCTCCTTCCCTTCCTCCCTCCTCCTATCTCCTCCCAGCCCTCCCTGCCTGTCAGCCTCCCTCCTTCCCAAGGTCCCCGCCATCCTGACCCTCCTTCCCTCCCTGCCCCCGTGGGTATTGACTGGCCTGGAACTTGGTTACACAGGTAAAGTCCTTGCTTGTGTGGGGTAATTTTTGGGCAAAGGAGATAGACGTTAGCAGGTGAGGGAATAAGCATATCTCAGATGGTGATAAAAGGCCATGGAGGAAATTGCACGAGGTTAGGAGCAGGAATGCGGCTGGATGGGGGTGGTGTTGGCCCTCAGACGGAGAAAGCAGAGAGGCTGCTCTGGGGAGGTGGGAACAGCAGGTGGCAGCGGCTGTGAGGTCAGAGGAGTGGGCCAGCATTGGCGGGATTTTGGCAACGTGCCGTGTGATCTGATCTACCTTTTGGAAAGATCACTCTGGCTGTGTTTGAAAACCAGACCGCAGGGAGGCGAGAGGCGGTGAACAAGGGGCTTGCTTCATTTCCAACAAAGCCAGGTGGGAAGAGCGAGAATCCCACACAGCAGGCGGGTTATGGAGGGGTGGTGCATTCGATAGGAGGTCGCCTTCGGTGTCCTTTCGTCGTGCGACTCTTTAACATCTACCTGGAATTGTCAAAACGTGATGAGTTCACCAGTATTTGCTGCCCTGCCGTTGGCTGGAATGAAGGGTGGGCGGCTGCACCTTGTAAGCCGCCAGCAGGTGGGGAGGGTTTGTGCTGGGCGGGCCAGGCGAGGGGAGCTGTGCCGCCAATGACACGGTCCCCGCAGAACCGGGGGCTCTCAGGTCATCGGGCCATCTCACCGCAGGCTCCGGGGTGGCGACCCTGTGCCATCAGCCTTGACATTCAGCCACAGACGAGAGGACTGAGGGACGGGGGGAGGCTCGGGACTCCAAGGGGATCCTCGATCCCATTCTGGAAGGTCCTGGGGAGAAGGGACGTGGTCTCGGTGACCCTGGAGCCCCTGTCCGTGACTTGAGGGAACGACAGCTGGTGTTGCGTTCACGTTTGTGTTTCTCTCCGTAGAAAGGGCACAGAGCAGTCTGGTTTTGAATCTACTTCTCCGTTCTTCACGTGAACTGTTTTCAAAAATCATTTATTGAAATACATTGAATGGATTGGAGTATCTCTCTACATGTTTACCCATTGACATATAGGCACGTGCGGAAATCAGTAGCGTACTTTGAACGTCACCAGCTGGGCCACCCACGTGACTACCACCTGGACCATGCCTGGCATGGAATCATGTTAGCACCCCAGAAGCCCCTGGGTGTCGCCCTCCTGTGTCCCCTCCACCTCCTATGTCCTGTCCTGCCTCCTAACCCCAGAGACTGGTTTTGACTTTCTGTGTAAAAAGAAGTC